TATAATATTCAATAAACTCTGCTTTTCAACTTTCATGTTCTACATTAATCTGTCTTGAATACTCAACGTAATTTTCATTATATTACCGTTGTTAATTCCCATATAACAACACACTTCTTATAAGAGTTTGAAAAGTTTGGCAATTGGACGAAATTTTGTTTACATGGAATGAATCATCGAAATTCACATGGAACAAACAAGAAATATACCTTCTAATAACTTGAAATAAACCAGAAAATTGAAAAATTCACATCGGATGAACAAGAAATATACCTTCTAGTAACTAAAAATAAACACCGACTTTGTCTCTCACACTATTTGTTCCTCGTCCCCCACTCTGCCTCCTCAATCGCGTCATCATCTCCTTACCCTCTCGCACACTATGCTTCTTGTGTTACAAAAGTAACTCGAAATAAACTGTTATTTTTTTTTTTATATATATTTACATAAACTTAAATTTATCATAATAGACAAAAAATAAACTAATCGTAAACTACAAATAAATTCGAGCTTCAGATTAACCCCAACCTCCTTCTACAGCATGGTTTGGGGCTTCATCTCCGCTATTAAAAAGCCTGAGTTCAGATCGGATCTCTTAAAATACACAAAACAAAATCATAATCTACAAATAAACTATCGAGTTTTGAGATTAAATTCGACAAGCAATTGAGCCCGCATCTCCATCTAATTTTTCAGATTTGATATGATATGGCCTCTTGTTGGATCTGGTTAGATGCATGAGCACAAATCAGACCGTTGAAGTGCATCATTGCTGAGTGATTCCAATTTATTCTCATCACCGTCGAGTGATTTCAATAGCAAGTTCAATTTCTTCTCACCACCATCTAAGTGATTTCAATTTAAATTTCATGGTGGTGTGGTGTTTGTGATGGAGAAAGGAAAAAAATATCGAGGCGGTTGTTAGTATGGCAATGCGTATTTGTGGAGAAAATTGGGACGGAGATATGAAATTGAGAGAGAGAGAGAGAGAGAAGAAGAAGTGGCGAGTTGAGGTTAGGAAGAATTGAAGAAGAATAAAATGATGTTATCACTTATTACAGTATTTAATACTCAATTATTGTTTCTATGTAAATAAAAACAAAATATATTTATTGGTAGATACAAAATATTTGTACCGTATGTGGAGTAATTTTCTCTTGAAAAAATAGGCCAAATAATTGTCCGGGGGCTCAAGGGCCTATTACCTTTATGGTGACAACAAACTCCTTTGCCCATAAATGAGTTTTAACCACACGCATCTAGTTAGGGGGAGGAAAAGGGGAATTGTGCAACCACTTGAGAGATACAACATAGTAACAGAGGGAAAAAAACAAACAAAAGGGAGAGAGAGCTACCGCCAAACTTGTTTTTATTTAAAATTTCATAATTTAAAATCTGTACTTGTTTTCATTTAAAATTTCATAATTTAAACAATTTTAGAAATTTCCAACTTTAGTAAATTTGAAATGTTTAGGTGGGAATTTTACGTACTAGGTAAATCCTGGTCTTATTATATAGAAATAGATTGGTTAATGTCTCAAGCATATTATTATATTATCGACCACACATTCATGCCTCGTAATTTATTTCAAGAAAGATAACCTTTGCTCTTTAAGCTTTCAACAGAATCCTTGACAATTTGCTCCAGTGGAATGAATTCTAGGCCCAAGTCTATTAGCTTCTTTGATGCACCTCCAATTTCAACTCCAGGTATAGCAATCTTTGGTAGCCTAAAAAAGTTGCATTATGAACCGATAAATGATAATTAGCAGCGATGAAGAAAAACTGATGGATGACCATTAGAAGGATAAAAATATAAGAAACAACAATGGTGAGAAAACTGGAATTTGTTCTCACGACAAATTAACTGATCGTAAATGGATAAGATTCGTGTTTCTGGGAAGAACTCACAATTGACGTGTACTCAACAATGGATTAGGAGCATCTTAATCTTACCTCGGAATCTTGTACTCGGGGTGAAGTTGTGCTAACTTAGCAGCGAAATCATCATATTGGGATAAAGACTCAACACACAGGTGCCTTCCTGTTGCAGCTTTGTTTTCGTATACTAGTATATGTGCAAAAGCCGCATCTTGAACGTGCACGAATCCCATAAAGAACTCTGCAGGAATTTCCTTGCCTGTACCCATAACATAAAAATAAATTTGATAAAAATCTCCAAGAGTTCATATTGATAAAGATTTTCTAAGCAAATACAACAATTCCTTCTTATTTCATTTTTCTTCTTCTCTCTTGTTTTCCTTCTTCCCTCTTTGCCCAGTCCACAACATCTGAACATTGAATATATCTTTTGTCTTTAGACTATCTTCAAGTACACAAGTTTTGTTGGTTTATTTGTATAACAGCTGTGCGGCTTTACCCTGAAGGAGGCTTCGAGCCAATAGCATGCTTGCATTTATTGCTGGGGGAATAATTGGACCAAGGACTGTTCCAGGGTTCACCACCACAATATCCAGGCTATTTCTCTCAGCGAATGTCCATGCAGCTTTTTCAGCAAGGACTTTAGAAAGAGGATACCAAAGCTAACACCAACATGAAATCTTAAAAGGTAAACAATTCCATAATGGGCTTGTGTACTTAAGTGCACAATAATGATATCAAACAATGGTTAGAGGTTAGTGGATACAACAGAAGGCTCAAGTAGCATTGAAGTCGATGAATCACAAATCATATCCAAAAAGGGCATTGACATGCACGTTGAGTTTATTGAGTTTATTCCAGGCTATATTGTTCAGTCTGCATTTACATCTTGGTAACTAAGTCCAGTAACAATAGATAACAACCGGATCTTCATTAATACCAACTTGTTACTTTCGACAACAGTGCAGCTGAAGTAGACGGGATGTCAGTCACTCATTTAAGTGTATGCAAAATCAAACACCGAATAATCTGATAAATTTACTTGGAACTGACATTCTAACTTGAACAGAATGTATACATGTATGTATGTATGTATGTAATCCTCTATGCAAAAATTATAAACCAAACCAAACAACAGAATTTCATACCCCCTTGTGCTTGCAGGACTCCTCATCAGCCCAGCAATCCTCATTCCGAGCCGCATCAACCATACAGTCTGGGCAGATAACCATGGCCGATAAAGACGACGTGACGACCACGCGCTCAACCCCAACCTCCTTGGCCGCAGTCAGTACATTAACGGTGCCCTTAACCGCCGGATTCAACAGCTCCCGCTAAATTTTGGACCGGAAAATTGTTCAATTAACGCACTGATTAATACGCACGCCTCTGAGGACGGAGTAAAATAGGGCAAGCACCTGGGGATCGTGGACTCGATCGACGGAACAGGGAGAAGCCACGTGGATCACGCCGGCGGCGCCTCTTACGGCGGCGACGATTGAGTCGTACCGGAGTAAATCCATCTGGAAGAGATGGAGACGTGTGTCGGCTCCATCCATGGCCTGCAGGTGCTTCGTTTCTCTCTCATCGCCGATATCTTTTACGGTAGCGTGGACGGTGTAGCCGCGGTGAAGAAACAACTGGACGATCCACGAGCCGATGAAACCGCTGCCGCCGGTGACGCATACCACCTCTCCTTCACGGTTTGCCATTTTCTGACGGACTCCTTGCCCATAAACTTTTGGATGGATAATTTAGTAATATTGAGCAAATAGTTATTCAACATACAAATGAAGATAAACCATAAAGTACAAAATATTAATGCGACAGACAAATGAATATAATTTATAAAGTGTGAAATAATTATGCAATAAACTATGCGGCAGATATACAAATATAATTGATTCGAAAAGTTATGCGACATACATACAAATATAATTAATAAAATGCGAAACCTATGTTACAAATAGATGAAAATAACTGATAAAGTGTGAAATATTTATGCCAAAAGCCGTGAGACAATAGGCGAAGATAATTAATAAAATGTGAGCAATAAGCTATGGCACATCGAGTCGCGCTCAGTTAGCACCTCAGCTTTTCGTAGGTGGGTCGGCAGCTCTGCCGCAGCTTGGTACCTCGTGTTGTGGGTCGCGCCTCGACATTCCGCACGTCAGGTCGATCGTCGGTTAGCCCCTCGACTTTTCGCACGGTGGATCGACAGCTCGGCCGCAGCTTGGCACCTCGCGTCGTGGATCGCGCCTCGACATTTAGCACGTCGGGTCGCGCGTCGGTCAGCACTTCGGGTTCTCGCACGACGGGTCGACAGCTCGGCATCTCGGACGGGAGGTCGACAGCTCGGCATCTCGGACGGGAGGTCCACAGCTCGACATTTCGCGTGACGGGTCGTGTCGCGACATCTTGCACAAGTTGCGCCTCGGCACTTTGCACGACGGATTGCTCCTCGGCGTTTCGCACGGTGATACAGTAGCTCGACACGTTGCACGGTGGGTCCACAACTTGGCATTTTGCTCGACGGGTCGTGCCGTGGCACTTTGCACGAGAGCTCGCGTAATGACAAGAGAACTCGGATGAGGTAAGAATGGTTGGGGTATGCGACTGATGATTTTTTCAGATAGGATGCGACTACTTACCACAACGTGAGTAATTTTTCCATTTCTTAAGACAAGCTGCGACAGCTTGTCCAAGAAATGGGAGGGGGGCTAGATGATATGACCATCAATAGCAATTCACCAAAGATCGGTCATTGGCCGAGCTCAGCGGCAGCTCGACATGGTCGCTCGCGGTGCGCCCACGGCATGAAGGAGCTCGGCGTGAGCGTCCTCGGCAAGGCTGTTCGCGGGCTTGAAAGGGGCTAGGCGCGAGCGTCCTCTGTCGCTCGGCACGGCCGTCCTCGGCGTGAAGGAGCTCGGCAGGGTCAATGAATGATGACCTAGTCCGAAGATTTTGCCTAGGAGTCTAGGGTATGGAGTAATTCCATAATCAAGTCATGAGGAGACCTCCAACGTTAAGCAAATTGAAGGTTCAGAAATCTTTTACCTAATTAAGAAGTAGATACCATGAAGACTTCTTGTCCAACAAGAATTTCTCGGCATATGCATAAGCCCAACCATAAAAGGAGCGCAGGTTCATTTTTTTACACGAAAACACATACACGCGTGAATACATTTCCCTCGACATATACTTGCTGAATTTTGAACTGACTTGAGCGTCGGAGTATTTTTCGCCAGGACCCCTCTCGGCGTTTTGCAGGTCATCAGAGGCATCATGGCGGTTCAAACCAGCTAGTCACAGTTCAATTCGGTCGAGGTACTAGGGGTGTTCACGGTCCGGATTGGTCCAGTTTTAACCCAAACCATGACCAAACCGGAGCTAACTGTTAATTTTTTTTCTTGTCCATAACCGGATTGATTTTATTTTTTAACCAACCACAATGGACCGCATTGGACGGTCTGATTTGGCGGTTAACTGATTAAATCCAAAATTCTTGTTTTGGGCCTTCAATTTTTATTTTTTTCATTTTGAGCTTAATTTTTATTTTTCAATTTTGGGCCCAAAAAAGATTATTTGGGCCTGAAAATTAAAAAAAAAAAGACAATAATGAAATAAAAAAAAATACACAATTCGTCTAATAAGCATAAAAATACACATTCCGTCCCATAAATAAACATAAAAATACAAATAGGCTAAAAAGTGAAAGTGAATGTATTGTATTTGTCGGCCATAGTGAATGATTGAATGTGTGTATATATATATTAGTTTATAGTTTTTTAATATTTACTGGTCCGGTCCGATTAAACCGGCGGTTTGCAGTAGGTAATCCGTTAACCAGACCGGTTATTCCAGATTTTTATAAAAATTAACCACTGGATTTTTTAAAGACTTTTTAACCGACCATTTAATCGATCCGCGGTCCGAATTGATAGTTTTTTTCGATTAAAACCGGACCGTAAACACCCCTACGAGGTACAATTTGCGCAACAAATATCACAGTATCATTCACAATTTTCATAACACCATTGTTCATTTTATCCTCTAAATCATCTTCTTCTAAAGTAGCACACAATATCAAATTATGGTGCAAATGAGACACATGCCTCACATTTTTCAATGTTAACACATAATCGGAATCAAATCGCAAGCAAATATCACTTAGACCAGCAAATTCACTCGATTTCTCACCACCCAAAGCAATAAATCCATGTTTCCCATCTTTAAAATTCAAAAACAGTTTTTGAAATGAGACATATGAAATGAGCATGCAGAATAAACAAGCCGTTCGTTTTCACAAAGAGAACAATAGCGCACGGAATTCACATTATCATGCATTTCACTCACCAAAAACACATCACAAAGTTTTTATTACTAGATGCCATTGAATGATCATTATGTTGGTTTTGCTTGGGATGAGGAAAATCATTCATTCAATGACCAAATTCACCACAATTATAACATTTACTGTATTTCAGTCGATACTTTGACTAATTTTCTACGTACCCTTTCTTTTAACAAAATTTTGATTTGCCAGAGGTTTTTGATTTTGAAAACGATTTTGAGGCTTTCCCCTCGCAAAATTAATCTCACCAACATTTTCAACACACCTATTATCAAATCCAAATTTTTGCTTTTCAAACCATTCACAACAGTTTCAAGATTCACATTATCTCTACCAAATTTATAGCAGATTTCACGTCACTTCTAAAATTAGGTATAGCATTCAAGAGTGCGACAAGGGTATAATTATCAGTATGCTTATCATTGGTTCGACTAATATCCAGAACAAGTTTGGTTAACACATCCAAATTATCATCTATATCTTTAGAGAACTCAAGATTGAACTGAATAAATTTTCAAGTAACAATTAACTTGTTTATCAAGGAGGTTTCAGTGTAAAATTTCACCAATTTTTCTCATAGTTCTCTAACAGAACCTAATTTACCAACTTTTCCGAACTTCTTTGAAAAGTGCAATTATATCGTGAATAATAAAACTATTTTAACTATTGTGATGTAAAAAGTAGTAAAATTTATAATAAATGTGCATTAATAATTCATTTTCATTTAAAAAACATATATACGCAAAGTGGAGAATAGAAAAATGTAACAATTAAGTATAGTTAATATAAAGCCCATGCAAACTGAAAAAAATATGGATTTCACTAAGGGGAATAATCAGTAATGCTCATTAGTGTAGACCAGAAATCACACAACCTATCATCTAAATTTTCTGCACATAATACTCGAGTTCTCCAAGTCTTTTAATGCTACTGATAAGCTACATGAAAATAGGATATAACAACAGCTCACAGGAAAGAATCAGGCTACAAAACACCACTCGAGGTAAATGGGACAAAGAGAAGAAAAAACGGAAAAGAAAACAAAGCAATATACAATACTGGTCAAAGATCGTGCCGCAGTTAAGGGTGCTGAAGCTGTGAAAAGTATGCTTTGTCCGCACTCGCAAGACGATCCTGGAAAAGTGCCCACTCATGTTTGCATCTATCTCGTACCTAAAACCATAAAAAAAAA